GATTAACAACGACATCTAATACAATTAAAAACAACTTAAAAAGGTATGTCTTAAATTTCGTTGACTTAACCATTGACTTTTGATATTTGACTACATAAGATACTATTTTCAGGAATGTTTAATGACTTTGTTTAACTTTTGATTTTATTTTAATTTAAAATTAACTAAATAAATTGCCCCAATATAAAAATTGTACAGGCACATGTTGGTAATTCCGTCATGCGTGTAAGTATTAACCGAATTAAGGAATTAACCGTTAACAAATTTGAGGCAATAAAATAATAATAATAATAATAATAATAATAATAATAATAATAATAATATAAATTATAATGATAATTATCATAATAATAATAATACAAAGGCATTGCCCAGCATTGAGAGAACTTTAATATAGGTCAGTCAAGCTCATCGACAAGCATTGGTCTTCCTATTGCTCTTCCTCTATAAAGTCGAAATCAACTCTCTGCGTTGGGTCTAAGCACTCAGCCAAGAGCACATTCAAATAGCCTACCGCCGCCTAATAATCATAACTCCTATATTGACGTATAATATAATGCAAGCTCAGCACGAGCCCATTACGGTGAATTAATAGATCGCAGAGGCATTATTGCCTGTCGAGTATTGATCGGCTAACGTCTGTAAAATATTGTTTCAAATCAAGGGCATTGTTAACAGTTCTTTTTTCCTGTTGGCTTACTGATGACCTTGATCCACTGTCATAAACTGAAAAAGAATTATCACTCGATAATTTCCATTTGACCATATCTTTATGCAAAGAAGGGGGTGGGGGTAAACAGACAACATGCTCTCTGCGCATTAACATAGACGTTAGAAGACTCTGGATAAATAGTTCAAATAGCCGGCTATAACAATCCCCTCCCCTCATTTGTGTTCATAAATCACTTTTTGTAAACGTGAAAATTCCTATTCCCTTTGTGAATCTGACGGGGTTGTCATGTCATCAAAGCTTGGGCTATTCAAAACTGACGGAACGGTGATTTAACAATTTCGATAAAAAACGATAGCCTACGTTTAGTTGGCCGACCTCATATTTTCAAGCGGAAAGGATAGCAACTCACTGCGTCACAGGATGAGGCTGACAAAATGGACCATCATCTGCCCAATTGAATTATCTTTCGCTGTGTAGGGAAAATGTTTTTCAGCGCTCTGCAAAGTACATTTACCCACAATAGACGGCGAGAACGTGAACTCAATCCTACGTACAACACTTTAGAGGAAACTGGCCTATCTTTGCTTATTACTTTCTTGAAATGTTTTGGTGTTATTCAGGGAAAAAGGATATCTTCTTTTTTGCTCCACCTTTCCCATTTGCCTTTGTGATTGAAAGCGAGCATCAGATTTTCATCAAAGTTCTATTAAGTGAAACATAGGTTGCGGGGCAGCCTCTGATTGAAACAGTTTAAATTTTAATTGTGTTTTTAATTTGACATATAGTTGCGGAGAGGAATGACACCACAACGCCGAGGGGCGGTCGATTCGCTTAATTTCTCCCTCAGGGATTGATGAGTATATCAGAGCAGTAGATTGGAAACCCATTAAGACTCAATGGTTAGGTTGTTAATTGGATCTTGATGAATAGAAGCCCTTGGTTGAACTATACTGATCCAATCTTCTTGACTTTCTGTTTTCCAATAAATTACCCAATTCATTTCCCAGCCGTAGATTACATAAATTGTACACCTCCAGGGCTTGAGCTTCCCGCCTGCTCGCTCTCGCTCTCTCTCTCTCTCTCTCTCTCTCTCTCTCTCTCTCTCTCTCTCTCTCCAAAAACCATTTGAGAAAAAATAAAAGACCAGCCTCAGAATCTTGAATGAAAATCGAAACATAATCAGCGTTTATACTTAGAAAATTTATTGATATCATTTTCTCTGGTAATTTCCTTATCTTAAAGTTGGACATGCCATATATCACAATACACACGTGTAAAGGGCCCTTTGTTTAATATTTATCGAAGCTTGATTTTCAGATCAAAGGCGCCCATGACTTCATCTGTCTTTCTAGTGGAAAGCATTTTTACCAGAGCTCGATGTGTATGTTCGGTCATTACTATCTGCTGCAGCACGTGCCAAAAAGCCTGTTCAGCCGGATTTGAAAGATCTTTAGCTTTCTGAACGCAAGACCGATTGTCCCATAATCATTGGGTGTTCATCACAGTAAACCTGTCTAGGTATTTGCAAAACTTATAGGTGCTCAGTTTGCCGTCGTGGTCAATAGGCTAATAGAAACAACTTTTCAAAAATTTTGCACACTATAAAACATTAACAGCTGCACATCAACAAAAAAATGATAATACTGCTCCCTCCTTCCCAAACACGTTCAATATAACACCGTGAGGGGCCTCCATTTCTGGTGTATTGTTTTTGTTTAATATGTCTAAACGGCCTTTAAGCTATCCAGCCTCGGCTGACAGGCGCAGCATATAAAACCGGCTCTTTAACGATCATTGCGGATTTCACGCCTTATGTGAATGCGCCATAAATCGTTGAGCCGCTGTGAACTAGACACTCATATTTTACGCACTAAATGGCTATATGTGGGCATATGGTCTCTTACAATAGGTCTCTTTAACAACCGTTCCAAACAGAGTTGCAGATTGTGACAGTTCAACCACATCGTTTCCATCATCGTGTACATATATAGCGCACGTGTCGTATTTGCTAGACCAAACAAATATCTTCCAAATGTTTGAGCTAGTCACACATACTGCAAATGAGAACAGAAACTATTCAAAATTAAGATTTTTCAGAGGTTCGTTTAAGAACATGTTTCTTATTTATGTGGCTCTTTTTGGATTAGACGTTATGCATTATAGGCTACTTCTATGAAATTAATGTTATAAAACAGTAAAGCCATAGAAGAAACACTTTTGTTTCACTAGAGAACCTCTCAGTTCCTGAAGAAACAATTTCTGTGTAAGGAACATTTGAGAAACCCAAAGAACCTTTTTTTTTTTTTGGAAAAAATAAATACATGAATAAATGTAAAAAAATAGCTTCTCCATTAATGTTAATGTTGTCAATTATAGATTCTGACTAAGTATAACAAATATTTTACTTTAAAATGAAAATGTTTAAATTTGAAGCCTTTTTAACAGCAGTGGCCCAGTCTATGTGGTTGGGAGACCCATGTGTGCAGGGCATACTCCCGACCTTTAAAATGTGTAGTCGGGATCGCTCAACCCTGGCTCCCTCTGCTCCATTAGGTGTCCGCGCGCTGTCAGCACGACAAAGCCAGAGCATTTGTTAAGTGTCGCCCGCCTTTAGAAAACGCTAACGAGACCTAATGTGGCAGAGCCACAGCTGCCCTCGAGACACGAGTCAGGGGTGGGGCGAGCGCCCACCCCCCAATCAATTAGTCAATCAATTAAACAGAGTCCTGCCCGCTCTAGCTGGCCCACAGAGGCAGTAGATTAGCCCACCATAATGATCAAATTAATTCTTAAACGGAGATAATGGACGTGGAATGGGTTTATTATTTTCAAGAAAAATGAGAGAAGATCCATTATTAGTTCCTTGACTGTGTGTTGGATTATTTGACCAATTTGCCATTTATAGCACAAGCCTAGTGGAATTTAAAACGACTTTTTAATAAGATATATGATTTTGAACTAAACTATGGATTCAGATGACTTGTAATTACTGCGGAGTTGGTTTAATGTTGGTTACTGATAAGTGCGTGAATTTGAGAACTCCAGGCGTGTACTTGAAATGCCAACGACTAAACAAAGACCACCAAACAGTTAGTGTCGTATAATTACAGTCTATATTAAAAGTTGTTTAAACAGGATTCTTGATGAGTTAATCATACTGAATTGCATTATTGGGTAAAACGTAATTTTTTTCAGAGGTACAGTCTGTTCACACGAGCTTCCTACATAAGTTAAAATCTAGTAAATATCAGTAAATTAACAAAAAAAAAAAATCTTTATCTTGTAAACAGCTAAAAAATATTATGTCAATAAGGAAGCAGGACATTACTGAAATTAGAAGCAATAGTAATCATAATTTATCAAAGTGGGAAACCAGAGGCATGTACATGACAATGAATAATTATCCATCAGCCCACAGAACGCTATTAAAACGATTGTTGTAAATTATCCTCAAAGTTATATTCTGTGTGCGTAAGCAGTTAGGTTTTGGGGCAATAACAAAACAATGTGGACCATCCCTAAGCTAGATACTGACAAGTAGCCTACTTATTTATTTATTTTATATTACTTATTACTTATTTTATATTACTTATTTATTTATTTTATATATATTACATTTGACACTATTAATCAGCCATCAAATCATATGTTAATATTATATAATTGTCAAAATATCTGAGCACTTAATTAAATTGAACCTGTTTGTTACTAGAAAGTATTAATAAAATAGGACTCTCTTGCCACTGTGGGTCATAAACACTGGTAACACACTCGACATTAAAATAATATAACGAACCCTTAATTATATAAGTTTATAAATGAATAAGAAAATTAATAATACATTTTCGGGCTGTTAATTACCTTGAAGATTATAAGGTGTTAATTTATTATACTTACACAAATCGTATTAACTATAATTTACTATAAAGATATTGCATTGTCTTCGTGTGTATTATATATATATATATATATATATATATATATATATATATATATATATATATATATATATATATATATATATATATATATATATACACACACACACACACACACACACACACATAGATATACATAGCCTATATATATATATATATATAGTAACAGTATATATATTTATATATATATATATATATATATATATATATATATATATATATATATATATATATATATATATATATATATATAGTAAAAGTAATTCGTTGTTTATGTAAAGCTATCTTACTAATGTATGTAAAATTACATATTGTCTGTAAAACCTGATAAAACAGATTATGGCATGGTGAATCACAAGCAGCCAAATGGTTTGTTTTAATGCATGTTTACATTCCCTGCTCTTTAAAATGACTAAAACTATGCATTCTTGCAGTCTAGCCTAATGATTTGCAACAAGTAAATCTCCATCGAGCGTTCAACACTTTTTTGTTAGCCACTGAGAAATTCAACCTTCATAAAATTTGAAATTTCCGGGCGCGCGTTGAGCGCGTGATTGGCCAGCCCCAGTCTTACCTACATGCAAATGAGGGCACGTTTCACCCGCCTTGAGACCAGAGCGCGTGGAAGTGGAGAGGAATGCATTCGAACACATTTGAGCCCACGAAAAACAAGTTTTTTTATCGTCCCAACAGCTATAAAGAAGCAGTTTAAAATTTGAAGGAAAGCACTCTCTATGTGTAGCGGGACTTATTGCTGATCATTTTTAGAACATTTTTGAACTGTTATGAGACGAGAATGAATAATTCGGAGGACAGCGGAAGCAAGTGCTCGCCTGCCCCCATTTCAAGTTTCACGATCCAGTCTATTCTGGGCACCTCAAACGACGGAGTCCGGTCGGCTGGAAAGGACAGTCCCAAATCCCAGCCAAGGAAGCGGACGTTGTCCGTGTCGTCGGAGGATGACTGCAGCGCAGGAGAGGACTCGGGTGACTGCTACTGCTCTGAGCCTGGTGTACCAGAGTCCTGCAACCCGCACCAGCCTCTGAACTTCTGTCTCGGTGAGTGACGTTCCCACCGGTGTTATTTTCCTTAATGTTTTTTCTTGCTCGGGATAGCCAGTTCTGTTGTATTGTTGTTTACAGTAAAAGTCCCCTTCAAAAGTGTCGCATTTCAGAACCGCTAAATATAAAACCCTATTATTTTTAGTCTCCATAGTGACTGTCTTTTAAATGCTGTCCCCATTACCTCCACTGGAAAAAAAACTCTAGTAGTGTTTTAACTGACATATTATCGCGCCTCAGTGAACAGGGGAAAGGTCAAATAATTAACCGAATTTAATCGAGTCTGCTAATTGATTATGCCGGCTTTCAAAGGCAACGCTGCATTTCGTCAATTGAGCGTTAAATGTAACACGATTTAATTAATATCGTGCACCAGTGCTAGTCATATTGTATTGTTTATTTAACAGAGCACTTGTAACCTTTCAACAGTCGATCAAACAGTCAGAGTTCACATTTAATGAACTCTTGTGTAAAGTATCGAGTAATGGCAATGTTTAGCCTAACAGAAAAAAAAAACACTGAGTGAATCTGATAATGGACGGGAATTTAAACTACTTTTTCAGCCATGCTAAAAATAAACGTGTTTGCAACAATTTATTAAATGCACTAATAGGCACATTATTCATGCATATTGTTTACAATGAAGCATGGCCGCTTTATATAACTATTAATACGTCTGGGTGGATGTTATTTTTAAGCAGTGATTTTACAGCACAGTTTCATAATGATAATTTGTGTATGTGTGTGTGCGTGTTTGTGTGTCGCATTGGTTGCAGGTGCCACAAAGGGACTTCTACCTGTGCAAGATGGGATCGACCGCCGGCCGCATTTGACACCATCCATACTACCGGATTACAAAGAGGAGCAGGGGCGAGCGTGTAGCCAAATGTCTCCCGTTTCTGAAGACAGACAACGCGACGGGCCGGACAAACAGAACAACTCCGCGAAGAAGAAAACGCGCACCGTTTTCTCTCGGAGTCAGGTTTATCAACTCGAGTCCACATTCGATATGAAACGCTATTTGAGCAGCTCCGAGAGAGCCTGTCTCGCCTCCAGCCTGCAGTTAACGGAGACACAAGTGAAAACGTGGTTTCAGAACCGGCGAAACAAATGGAAGCGGCAGCTCTCTGCAGAACTTGAAGCTGCGAACATGGCGCACGCATCGGCGCAGACTTTGGTTGGGATGCCCCTCGTTTTCAGAGAAAATTCGTTGCTCCGGGTGCCGGTTCCGAGGTCCATCGCTTTTCCTACCCCACTGTATTATCCTGGAAGTAATTTACCAGCTTTACCACTATACAATCTTTACAACAAGATTGAATATTAACTTTTGCGCACAATGAAAAATCCTTGCTAAAGGATGACACATTATTACACACACTAAGACGTACAAAATACACATTTAAACTATGTTTGACGATATTCATGTCTATTTATACCTCTTTATTTGATGAAAAAAATATATTTCTTATTATGCAGCAATTAAACGAGTCTACGTGTAAAACACAAAAGCAACACGGTTCTGTATATGTCCTATAAAATACACCATGTGTATAATGATTATTTTGTACTTTTATTTAGATTTATGTCCCCCGATTAACCAGTTTTACACATTATGAGGATTGAAGCATTGAAATAAAAGTGTAATCATTCGATCCCTGTCTTTAAGATGAAATCACCTGAAATTCGCAAATAGCATTCTTCATTGATATAATAACAATTATTTTTTAATAATGTTTTGTCTATTTAATGCAGTATGTTATTTATTTGTTATTTAGGTCTTTAAAATACACAATGAATGACAGCCTTGCAAACTGTAAAAATGCAGTGGTTTTGTATATATATTATGTCTTTATTTATATACATATATTTTTTAATAAGTTTTACCACAATGGCAGAATGCCTGCACGATCAACCATATAACATATGACTATTAAAGTTATATATATATATATATATATATATATATATATATAGACTGCCAGCCAGGGTTCTCTATTTCGTTTACTTTTCAGCTCAAGACAAACATTTGTGTTACACTGACACTGGGTCATGTAAAGTGTCCCCAGTTGATGCTTTCGCAATTAGGGATAATTACATGTTGCTTGTCACACGAACACGCATTCAAAGATTCTCGGAGACAAGCGGAACGTCAAAAGCGCAGCGGGGCCTCAGAGAAGCCGCAGTGAAGAATGACAGTGCTCGCGGTGCAATCTGATAAGACTCACCCGCTGTCAAATTACAAAGGGTGTAGTGGTGTCCTATTGCACTGATTCCATGTTCTCTATACCAGCCACGGAGAAAGTTCATTATCAACACACACAAGTAGCTACTTTTTCCGACATGATGACAACAGTTTGAAAGCCAGGTCGAAATATGTTAATTTAGCCTATATTGACTGAAGATTAAATAACGCATTTTATCCCACGAGAAACAAATGCACAAATATTAGTAAATAGAATGCTTACTTTTAAAGAAATGCAGGCACATTTTAAACATGTCAAACATCTTTTCTATTGTTTTATTAATTGTTGACTTTCTTTGAGAACAAAGTTTTTAGCCACACATAAATGCAAGTTTTGTTTGGCCTGAGATTTAAAATTTTAATCATTAAAAAAATCGTCTTTCTTAACCAAATAGTGGCGAAAAAGTCCCCGAAACATTAGTGACTTCCCTAAAGGCAGGATGAAGAAAAGCTCCTGGCTTGCTAGTTATACTGTTGTTGCTGTCTGTTTGATTGACAGCTCAGACCAGAGGTCAGACCGCTCATAGCACACACATGCGAGCATAAACTTATGCGACTTCCGTGTAAATTTCATCCCGTGGGTTTTCGGCGCTTTCTCACCACGTAAAAAAAGGCACATACGCTTCCATTCACTGCTTCACACACCCATCTGTAGGTGAAATGGCAGGTGTGAATTACAAATTTTAATAGCACGGCAATGAAAATGATTTGAAGTGGTTTGAAGAGGTGGAAGACAGTGTGGAGCAGATTTGTTGAGATGATGTGTTGTGCCTCAGGATTCATCAAACTTGCCTGGCACAGCGAAAAGCAGGAGTAATTCAGTTTGGGATGTAATTTATGAGGAAGGTAATGGGCACTATATATAAAGTGTGGAGAGAGAAAAAGAGTGAGAGAGCAATATAAATACAGCGAGAGAGAGATAGAGAGAAATGTTTTTCCATTCTTCTAATATCAGAACTGACATTGGTCTATTAATTTAAAAGCAGTGCTAAATCAAAAAAAAAAAAAATGCCCCATACATTTATGTTCCTCCAATTTGAACAAAAAGTATTTTTTTAACAATATTGATGTCTGACTTTATGCTATCTGGAAACTGTGCCCATGTTTTAGCTAATGATTTGTTGTCCTGCGATGCGTGTGTCTGTATTTTGTTGAAACAGCAGCTGAACGTCTGACTGCTCAATAATGAAGCAGCGCTGTATTTGGACGGACATTTGCCATGATTGTCACTCACTACAAACAGCATCTAACAGAAGCTGCTTTTCTCCTAAATGAATTTACGGAAAGCATAACCATGTTTCTGATTGGCCTCTACATCACTCATGAGCCCCACGTGAGCGGCTGTAGACTAATGGCTCGAATGAGGAGCTTGAGTCTGAACGGATTCTGGTTTATATCAAATCTTAATGGAGGAGCCGAAGGGAAATTATGTTTGGATCCCCCACAGACAATAACTAAATATAAAGCCACTTAGTAATTTCCAGATGCACTCTGAGATAACTTTCAGTACGACAGAGTCCAACATTTCATTGATGCAGCGCTTCAGACTGGGCATCATTCACAACACACTACAACATGTATGAATAGAAAGGATAGATAGAAAGGATAGATAGATAGAAATGATAGATAGATAGATAGATAGATAGATAGATAGATAGATAGATAGATAGATAGATAGATAGATAGATAGATAGATAGATAGATAGATAGATAGATAGATAGATAGATAGATAGATAGATAGATAGATAGATAGATAGATAGATAGATAGATAGATAAAGATCTAATTTCTATAGCCACACATGACAAAAACTGCTTAGCTTTCCTAATGTCTTCAATCCAAAGAGGCTGATCACTTCATTCATTGGGAAGTAGAAAGAAAGTCCATTATATTGAGCAAAATCAATAATCATGGTATAAAAGTATCTTAGTCGGCTGAACTTTTCTCTCAGAGATGAAAGGTGATCACATTTATCCATTAGTTCACATTGATTGTGCAGATGCAAGAAAGCGCTTGATTAGCCGTTTTTAGAGGTGCACTACAGCTGCTCAGGATTTATTTATACTTAGATTTAATAGCACAAGGTGCAGGGATTATTGTTTTGAAAAAATAAGATTTGAACAATATTTTGAACAGTGTACATACAACACAATATATATCACAATATATATTTTTTTGATAAGCTGTTTAATTAAATATACAAAAACAAAGTAAAAATACAATTATTATTTAGTAAGAAAAAAGTTATTGTAGTCTATTATGAAGGTATATATATATTATGTGTGTGTGTATATATATATATATATATATATATATATATATATATATATATATATATATATATATATATATATATATATATATATATATATATATTGGTTTGTGTACAAATAAATACAAAAAACTACAAATAAAAAGAAATAAATATAAAATAAATATGAATAAAACAAATATACATATAAACTCAAAAATAGTTTTGCTGCTTGTTTGAACTACTTAATTAAACTGAGTTGAATCAACATAAATCTTGTGTTTTTTGGCACAACTTAATTGTGTATTATTCAATCTACTTAAATTAGTAAAAACAATTAAGTTAACTTAATCGATTTTTGTTGGGACAACATGAAAGAAATTGCATGGAACCCAGCATTTTTCACAGTGTGTGATGTATAAATTTGATAAAAATTGTATAATATTACTAGATTTCAGGGATTATTGTTTAAAAATATATATAAATTTATTAGCTATTTTAAAAGGGTTTCATAACACTTAATATTTATTTGCAGAAAAAGTAAGGTGCAAATGTTTGTGTGTGTGGTATATTTATCCTAAAATAAGTTGTTCAATTTAAATCTGCTGTTTTACAACAAAAATTGCAGGTATTATTATTGTTAAAGATGTTATCTTGCTAATATTTTTGAAGACTAAATTCTATATTTAAAAAATCAATTCTGTAAACACAGAAAAATAACTTAAAAATAATGAAATACTAATCAATAATAAAATACATATTAATAAAATTTTTCTCCCAAAATCCAGTTGCATTGTTCCAAAAGCTTAAATACACATTAAAACCACTCAACAAATAAATAAATCCATCAAAAGGGCTTCATTCTCACACAAAATATGACCGTATTGATACAGCGGCTGCAACAGTTGTGTGAACCCTTCGCTTTACTCCTTCATCTGCACTCGCTGACTCTTTGTCTCTTTCTTTCAGACCCTGTTTTTTTGGCATCCTGGAAGAGGAGGGGTGGGATGGGGGTCATTATTCTATTTAAGAGCTACAATTTTAGTAATGGCTTTTGCTGCAGTCCACAGAGGCACAGCCAGCCTCCCTCAATATCCTGAACATTATTTGCTCGTTTAGTTAAATGATGTTTCTAATTGGTTCATAATTAGTTGTAATGAGGCGGGCCCGAACATCTCTGATGCAGATACAGCTTAATTCAACATGGCATCTCGCTTCTTCAGGAGGATTTGCCAGGGTTAAAAAGGGGGAGGTTTCCTGCCATTGTGTCTTCCAGTAAATTGGAAAATAAGGTTTGCGGAGCAGCGGGGTTGAAGATCGGGCTATCGTGTGCTGTTGCTGTCGTTCTTAAATGATCTGGTCAGCCAGTTATTTTGACAGTGAACAAACAGAAATGCAAGGGGTGATTCTGGTAAACACCCCATTCTAAATAATCGGATGATTTTAGCATTTAAAACGTTTAGGATTAAAACTGGTCAAATTCTTTCTGGCATTATCTAATAAATGTTTCTTTATTTAAGCAGATTGAGAACCCATTGAGATCAAGGCCTCATTTATAAGGGTGATCTGGCCAGGAGGTCCGCAACACATGACTTATAATAACAAATAAAAAGTAAAGATAATATAAAAATACAGTTTAGTTATTCAACAATACCACATTACAATATGTTAAAACACATACATTGACAAATGGACTCTTGTTGTTTGTTATATAGGATGATTTAATTGGGATGAGCTCAGACATTTTTAGTTCAGACTGAAGAGTATTACAGGATGACTAAAGGCTCGCTTCTATCACACTACAGTTAAAATGTTTGAAATGAAACTATAGTATTCTGTTCACCAAGCTTCATTTATCTGATAAATTAAATTCAGCTTTGAATTGCAGGTATGAATACAATGTAAAACTACATTCAATCAGAACATTTACAGTTTTTCTGTATTTGTGATCAAATAAATGCAACCTTGGTAAGCAGAACAGTCTTCTTATAAAAGTATTTTTAACTGTCACTAATCCCAAACTTATGACTGGTAGTACATACATTTCAGGAATTTGCCAAAACAAAAAACAAGAGTATCAAAACAGAACTGCCAATTTCAAACTCAATTTGCTAAGTACACAGCACCACTGAAATCATGGTAGAAAGACTATTAAAC